TCAGCATTTTGGAGGAAAAAATTAAATTTTTTTAATTGGCTAGTTTCCCCACAATGAATGTACATACATGCCATTAGATGGATCCTGACCCCCATATCCCTTTGAAAGGGGCGTAGGGGCAAATATTGTAAAAATTTGAATTATCACAACTTTCGGGCCGAAATTGTAAGGGCCGGGGTGGTTCAGCATTTTGGAGGAAATAATTAAAATTTTTTAATTCGCTAGTTTCCCCACAATGAATGTACATACATGCCATTAGATGGATCCTGACCCCCATATCCCTTTGAAAGGGGCGTAGGGGCAAATATTGTAAAAATTTGAATTATCACCACTTTTCGGGCCGAAATGGTAAGGGCCGGGGTTGTTCAGCATTTTGGAGGAAAATATTATTTTTTTTTAATTTGCTACTTTCCCCATAATGAATGTACATACATGCGATTAGATGGATCCTGACCCCCATATTCCTTTGAAAGGGGCGTAGGGGCAAATATTGTAAAAATTTGAATTATCAAAACTTTCGGGCCGAAATTGTAAGGGCTGGGGTGGTTCAGCATTTTGGAGGAAAAAATTATATTTTTTGAATAGGCTAGTTTCCCCATTATGAATGTACATACATGCGATAAGATGGATCCTGACCCCCATATCCCTTTGAATCGGGCGTAGTGGTAAATATTGTAAAAATTTGAATTATCACAACTTTCGGGCCGAAATGGTAAGGGCCGGGGTGGTTCAGCATTTTTGGAGGCAAATATTAATTTTTTTTATTAGGCTAGTTTCCCCACAATGAATGTACATACATGCCATAAGATGGATCCTGACCACCATATTCCTTTGAAAGGGGCGTAGGGGCAAATATTTAAAAATTTGAGTTATCACAACTTTCGGGCCGAAATGGTAAGGGCCGGGGTGGTTCGGCATTTTGGAGCAAAATATTATTTTTTTTTAATTGGCTAGTTTCCCCATAATGAATGTACATACATGCGATTAGATGGATTCTGAACCCTATATCCCTTTGAAAGGGGCGTAGGGGCAAATATTGTAAAAATTTGAATTATCACCACTTTTAGGGCCGAAATGGTAAGGGCCGGGGTGGTTCAGCATTTTTGGAGTACAATATTAAATTTTTTTATTAGGCTAGTTTCCCCACAATGAATGTACATACATGCCATAAGATGGATCCTGACCACCATATTCCTTTGAAAGGGGCGTAGGGGCAAATATTTAAAAATTTGAGTTATCACAACTTTCGGGCCGAAATGGTAAGGGCCGGGGTGGTTCAGCATTTTGGAGGAAAATATTTTTTTTTTTGATTGGCTACTTTCCCCATAATGAATGTACATACATGCGATTAGATGGATCCTGAACCCTATATCCCTTTGAAAGGGGCGTAGGGGCAAATATATTAAAATTTTGAATTATCACAACTTTCGGGCCGAAGTTGTAAGGGCTGGGGTGGTTCAGCATTTTGGAGGAAAAAATTATATTTTTTTGAATAGGCTAGTTTCCCCACAATGAATGTACATACATCCCATTAGATGGATCCTGACCCCCATATCCCTTTGATAGGGGCGTAGGGACAAATATTTTAAAAATTTGAATTATAACAACTTTCGGGCCGAAATTGTAAGGGCCGGGATGGTTCAGCATTTGGGAGGAAAATTTTTTTTTTTTTTAATTGGCTAGTTTCCCCATAATGAATGTATTAGATGGATCCTGAACCCTATATCCCTTTGAAAGGGGCGTTGGGGCAAATAATGTAAAAATTTTAATTATCACACCTTTCGGGCCGAAATTGTAAGGGCCGGGGTGGTTCAGCATTTTGGAGGAAAAATTATATTTTTTGAATAGGCTAGTTTCCCCATAATGAATGTACGTACATGCGATAAGATGGATCCTGACCCCCATATCCCTTTGAATCGGGCGTAGTGGTAAATATTGTAAAAATTTGAATTATCACAACTTTCGGGCCGAAATGGTAAGGGCAGGGGTGGTTCAGCATTTTGGAGGAAAAAATTATATTTTTTTGAATAGGCTAGTTTCCCCACAATGAATGTACATACATCCCATTAGATGGATCCTGACCCCCATATCCCTTTGAAAGGGGCGTAGGGACAAATATTGTAAAAATTTGAATTATAACAACTTTCGGGCCGAAATTGTAAGGGCCGGGGTGGTTCAGCATTTTGGAGGAAAAAATTAAATTTTTTTAATTGGCTAGTTTCCCCATAATGAATGTACATACATGCGATTAGATGGATCCTGAACCCTATATCCCTTTGAAAGGGGCGTTGGGGCAAATAATGTAAAAATTTTAATTATCACACCTTTCGGGCCGAAATTGTAAGGGCCGGGGTGGTTCAGCATTTTGGAGGAAAAAATTATATTTTTTGAATAGGCTAGTTTCCCCATAATGAATGTACGTACATGCGATAAGATGGATCCTGACCCCCTTATCCCTTTGAATCGGGCGTAGTGGTAAATATTGTAAAAATTTGAATTATCACAACTTTCGGGCCGAAATGGTAAGGGCCGGGGTGGTTCAGCATTTTTGGAGGAAAATACTAAATTTTTTTAATTGGCTAGTTTCCCCACAATGAATGTACATACATGCCATTAGATGGATCCTGACCCCCACATCCCTTTGAAAGGGGCGTAGGGGCAAATATTGAAAAATTTGAGTTATCACAACTTTCGGGCCGAAATGGTAAGGGCCGGGGTGGTTCAGCATTTTGGAGGAAATTTTTTTTTTTTCTTCTATTGACTACTTTCCCCATAATGAATGTACATACATGCGATTAGATGGATCCTGAACCCTATATCCCTTTGAAAGGGGCGTAGGGGCAAATATTGTAAAAATTTGAATTATCACCACTTTTAGGGCCGAAATGGTAAGGGCCGGGGTGGTTCAGCATTTTTGGAGGACAATATTAATTTTTTTTATTAGGCTAGTTTCCCCACAATGAATGTACATACATGCCATAAGATGGATCCTGACCACCATATTCCTTTGAAAGGGGCGTAGGGGCAAATATTGAAAAATTTGAGTTATCACAACTTTCGGGCCGAAGTTGTAAGGGCCGGGGCGGTTCAGCATTTTGGAGGAAAAAATTATATTTTTTTGAATAGGCTAGTTTCCCCACAATGAATGTTCATACATGTACATGCCATTAGATGGATCGTGACCCCCATATCCCTTTGAAAGGGGCGTAGGGGCAAATATTGTAAAAATTTGAATTATCACAACTTTCGGGCCGAAATTGTAAGGGCCGGGGTGGTTCAGCATTTTGGAGGAAAATATTAAAAAATTTTATTAGGCTAGTTTCCCCACAATGAATGTACATACATGCCATTAGATGGATCCTGACCCCCACATCCCTTTGAAAGGGGCGTAGTGGCAAATATTGAAAAATTTGAGTTATCACAATTTTCGGGCCGAAGTTGTAAGGGCCGGGGTGGTTCAGCATTTTGGAGGAAAATATTTTTTTTTCTTCTATTGACTACTTTCCCCATAATGAATGTACATACATGCGATTAGATGGATCCTGAACCCTATATCCCTTTGAAAGGGGCGTAGGGGCAAATATTGTAAAAATTTGAATTATCACCACTTTTAGGGCCGAAATGGTAAGGGCCGGGGTGGTTCAGCATTTTTGGAGGACAATATTAAATTTTTTTATTAGGCTAGTTTCCCCACAATGAATGTACATACATGCCATAAGATGGATCCTGACCACCATATTCCTTTGAAAGGGGCGTAGGGGCAAATATTTAAAAATTTGAGTTATCACAACTTTCGGGCCGAAATGGTAAGGGCCGGGGTGGTTCAGCATTTTGGAGGAAAATATTATTTTTTTTTGATTGGCTACTTTCCCCATAATGAATGTACATACATGCGATTAGATGGATCCTGAACCCTATATCCCTTTGAAAGGGGCGTAGGGGCAAATATATTAAAATTTTGAATTATCACAACTTTCGGGCCGAAGTTGTAAGGGCCGGGGTGGTTCAGCATTTTGGAGGAAAAAATTATATTTTTTTGAATAGGCTAGTTTCCCCACAATGAATACATCCCATTAGATGGATCCTGACCCCCCATATCCCTTTGAAAGGGGCGTAGGGACAAATATTGTAAAAATTTGAATTATCACATTTTTCGGGCTGAAATTGAAATTGATGTACATCACAGAGCCAATGAACTGATTAGATTTTGGGGTCACGAGATTCAAGGTCAAAGGTCACAGGGCTCATTATGTATGCGAAAATGGCTCGTGATCGCGTTATCTCAAGAACTGATTGATGGATTCCTGCCAAACTTAAGTCATGGATGTATCTTGCAGAGCCAATGAACTGATTAGATTTTGGGGTCACAAGGTCGAAGGTCAAAGGTCACAGGGCTCATTTTGTATGCAAAATAGCTTGTGATCGCATTATCTCAAGAACCGATTGATGGATTCCTGCCAAACTCAGGTCATGTATGTATCTTGCAGAGCCAATGAATCGATTCGATTTTGGGGTCACCAGGTCAAAGGTCACAGGGGTCTTTATGTATCCAACAATAGCTGTGATCGCATTATCATGAGATCAAATAGACAGATTACTATCAAACTCAAGTCATGTATGTATCTTGCAGAGCCAATGAACTGATTAGATTTTGGGGTCACCAGGTCGAAGGTCAAAGGTCACATGTTTCATTATGTACGCCAAAATTAGCTTGTGCATGCATTATCATTAAAACCCACAGATGGATTACAATCAAACTTGAATTTAAAAATTGTTTCTGTTTTGGTTTGTAAAATTGCTCTATTTAATTCAAATCATTCATATGTTTTATTATCAAGGAGATTTCATGTTCTTGATGTGGAAGTTATGAAAAGTCTAAATTACTTGAATTTTTGCTATTTAATATTTTTTATTTTAAGGCTACAAATGGTTTTCCATAACGTTTTAGTCCAACTTATAGAGTTACGTTCGTCTTAGAATCTTTGTGAAACATTCCCCAGGTCTAGTAAAACTACTTTCTTTCACATTAAAATTGTACGACCACTCATTACATTCATATATAAAGTGGTTTCCCTTTCTATTCTCCTATGCAGTACTACCATCACAAGTTTGGCGTAGACTTCCGATCTCTGAGGTTACCAGGGGTCATCTCTGGCGACACAGCTCCAGGGGGTGGTACTACAGGTAGGTCTTTGTGCATTATGAATTGACCTTACCGCAAATACGATGTTCAACTCTAGATGGCAACCTCCTTCTTCTTATTCTTCTTCTTCTGTTGAAGTACAGGCCACCATGTTGTAGGTGTATCAGCACACCCAAAGATACGATACTGGGGAAGATGATAAGACGAGGTTTCTTCAGGCTTCCATAGAAAATGTATAGCAGTGTCAACTAATTCCTTGTTGTACTAAACTATTGTCCAGGTTTCATAAACTCCCTTGATGATTTGATGAGATCTATGTAGGTACCATCATGATCTGTGACCCATAGTTTATTGGTTCTGAAACTATAATTTCTATCAGACTTTCCAGTTCTCGACCCGGGAACCGTATGTGCCTTTGCCAATTATACCTATGGATGGTGCTGCCCTCTATGGCCAATAGCTTAGTTAGGGTAGCGAGAATTGGATATCATCATGATTATTATAATCAATTATCATTTATTGAAGTCAGCATTCTCCTCTTAGGAGGGTATGTTACTGACTTTCACTCCATGATGACACTTCCTTCGTCCACTTCTTCTTGTCTCAAGCATCCTCCTAATTCCATAAAATCTGTGGTCTTCCTTGCCCTGTTATGACATCAACTTCCAAACCCCATGCTCTTTTCACAGGTTCATTATCTTCCCTTCTCGACACATGACCCATCAATCTCAATCCACTTCTCTTCACCAGTTCCACCAGTTTCTTTGAGACCCAACCTTTCCGATCTAATAATCATAGTATATTTGTTTTTGCTGGTCTTGTTATTATTACTTTTAGTTCATCATCAATATTTTAAGGTCCATTTTCCCCTTGTTGTGGAATCACTAATAGATGTAGCTTTTCCTAGATGACCTTCTCAAAGCCTTCCCGTGATCAGCATCAACCAAGATGAAAACAGATATCCTCAAATCCATTTTTGTTGCATGACGGACATGTGCGCTATATAAGAAGCCACCATTATTATTATTAATGTCTCCCATGTTAGTATCACTGTTCTTGTTATTAGTACCGGTACTATCAGTATATTGGTCTTTGGTCATTATCATCATCGTCATTTTAAAGTCCATTTTTTCTCCTTGCTGTGGAGTTTAGACATGTCTTTTCCTTGATGCCCTTCTCCTTGTATTCTGTTCTTCAGCATCCACCTAGATGAGACCAGGGGGGTGTTTCACAAAGCCTTTTTTCAATGACAAATGACAAAAATCAGTGACAAATCTGCTGATAACCAATCAGAAGCAAGGATTTCACTAGCTTATAACAAAAACTGCCCTTTGTCACTGATGACAAGTTTTGTGAAACACCCCCCAGGGGAGTGTTTCACAAAGACTAAGATCAAGTTGGACTTAACACTATGGCAGGCCTTTCATGCCACTGGTTGCTCTCACCATTACGATCTTTAGATAGCATTTTTCCTTCAATAATGAATTATCAAAAAATATAAAATCTGTAGATTTGTGTCCATGATTTGTACGTCCCTTGAGAGACCAATGTCAGTAAAATGGTGAGAGCAAACAGTGGCATGAACAGCTTGCCATAGTTAAGTCCAACCTAAAGTCGATTTTAGTCTTTGTGAAACACCCCCCTGATACTCTCATGTCTTCTTTGATTTTCTCCATCCAAGTTTTGTAATATCCTCTAATGGTTCTTCAGCCAATCACTGGGAAATTAATTTCTTCTATTATCACTATTAAATCTGGTGACTATGGTTTGTAAAATCACTTTCCTAACTCTCTAACGCCCACCCCATCCCTCCCCCTCCCCTCCCCCTCTCCTTTCTCAGATTACGCAGTCTCCATATTTGACCACGCCCTTCAGTCCGGCCACTTTGACTGCTACCTGCGATCAGACACCATGCTCCCCATGATCTACATCAAGGACTGCCTCCGGGCCATCGTCGAGATGCTGGAAGCTCCGGAGGAGTTGCTAGGGTTACGAACGTACAACATCAACGCCGTCAGCTTTAACCCGGAGGAGATTGCCAAGGCCATCAAGAAGTACGTCCCGGAGTTCACCGTCGACTATCAGCCAGACGAAAGACAGAGTATCGGTAAGATTGTAAAACAATTCATTCTGTCATTATTAAAGATAGAGTTGAGTTCTGGTTATGCGATTGCGTTGTGAAAGAAACGGTGTGGAATCGATCAGAAGAGGTTGGTCATCTAGCATATAAGTATTGGTGTGTACTGCAAGATTCTGGAATCATCAAAATGATAAGAAATTTGGCCCAGTCGTGGTAAAGTTACAAGCATTGTACACAGAAAGATGTATATGGGACTATCGTTTACGCAATATCTATCCAGACTGGATAGATATGATAATTTACCAAATATATGAATTAGTAGGCGGTTTACCGGCAAAATTTGTATCATCACGTATTAGTCAAAACATATTTTTTCACACGATTGGTAATAAGTGCTTCCATTTCATTTTTGGAGAGGGGGGCGTTTCCCAAACTGTTCTATACCTTTAAAGATGAATGTTTGTGATGGTGGTCATCTTTTGAATCACCAATGTTTTTAATAATGGTGGAATATTCAAACTGCTTATGATGTCATAATTATTAAAGATGAATGTTGTGATCTTAGTCATGATCTATTAAAATCACCTAATATTTTCATTTGTTAATGGTCGGTCTAAAGAGGTCAACCCTTCTCGCATGATGAGTTTAGCAGCTTCAACGCACTTATCTTTGAAAATCTCCATCTGTATAAAGTTTGATAGTCAATAAAAACTATGATACAAATTTTGGAAAGCTTGAATCATTTGAAAATAAGAATCAGAATTGATTCAGCATTAAAACTGGTCTCCTTGAGTGCCCTGCAATCATACCCCTGCTTTACATGCGCTTGTGCATGTAAATTAATTATACAACCATCATCTTGTACATGTATTGTCATTAAAAATATTTCTGCCCTTTTTTCATCTCTCATCTAGCGGACTCTTGGCCCAAGCGTCTTGACGACTCCCAGGCCAGAGAGGACTGGAACTGGAACCACAAATACGACATGGACGCTCTGGTCCAGGTCATGTTGGAGGTCGTCGGCAAACGCCTCGGACTTTCGACATCGACATCGACATCGACAACCAAGGCCTCTGGGGTGCAGTGATTTGAAAAGAAATATTCATTTTCTTCTCTGATGCAAGGTATTCTGTACATATAGTTTTTCAGGAAGTTTGCAGAAATTGTAACGACTTTTTATTCTCGGTAATGAAGCGCCTGGGCCTTGCCACCATTTTTGCGATGCTGTTACCCATGGCAACAGAAATCGAATCGGCATGCAGTGGTTCCAAGAGTTTCTCCTATTGTGCTTCTGATATGGAAAAATATATTTTCTACATGGTAGGCATCACATGTGAATCGAAAGTTATGCAGTTATTAATCTTTTGTTTTTGTTACAGTATGCGTAAAGGGTTCATATAAGTGCTATTCTCGACTCGAACAGAAGAGAGCTTGCTCAGGTGTTTAACATGTGAGGAAGGTATTTATTAAAAGGCATGAGTGCACCCTCTAACTGAATAAACATTATAGTCTGTCATTTGACTAAATCACATATACAGGATACTGTATAGTTTTATACACACCTGTGTACAGATATATATACCATAAAACTGGGTGAAGAGGAACAATCGGTACAATTGTATTGCATTGAAAAAATCTCAGTAAAACTTTCTCTGGCATTAGTGGCTTGTGTCAAGGTTTTGTGCAAAGTTATGTGTGGTGTGTGGTATTGTATTATGATAAAGGATTTTTAGGCAATTATTGAACCCCTGTTTTTGCTAGTTTCCTGCTGTGTATACAATGTTGAGAGATTCAGCACACAAACGGATTGGAATTGGAATATGTTTACAATGTATGATCTTTTACGATGATTGATATTTAGATGCACGTAACACAGGTGTATGTGTGTAAATGACTATTTGCATATATAAGCAGCTTGAAATTTATAATGAGTATTTTATCCAATCAATCATGACTTTTTAATACAGAGGTAGCTGTAAGAATATTTCAGAGGATTATGATACAAAGAATGGATGATTGTTTTGTTTTTCTTTATTATTGATATTATTAGCATTGTATACATTTTTGCAACCATGTGGGAACATGTATACCTACAGCTAACAACTAAATTACATCATTACCGTACCAAGTTTTGCAATTTCTTACCTTTGCGAAAAATTCATTTGTCCCAATTTCTGTTTTTAGATAACGAGACATTGTAAAGCTTACATCTAGCAGTATTCAACAAAGGCCCTAATTCAACCAATCCATCTTTCATTATTGAGTTACAAAAAACATAAAAAGGTCATATGTCTAAAATGGTATTTGTACGCTTTTGCTCTACAGTATTCCAACTTTTATGGCCTTCTATTTGGTACCTTCATTTATGCCACCGATTTCTTTATGAACTTCAGACACTGTTTACATCTTACATGTATGTTCATAGGTCTTTAATAATTCATGTTTTTGTTTTCAGGTATTTTTGTTTGTTGTTAAAAATAGTGTGATATTTGCAATATATCCTGGCAAGAATTGTTTTAACATTTAGTTTGTACTGTCAAAGGTGATTCTTGATTTATTGTTTCACAGAATATTTTTGCTAAAAACAAAATTAGCAGAAGTTGAGGAATGAAAAATATAATAAGTAGCAATCACAGTAATTACAATTTTTTTTTTTTAAAGATTTTCAATACTACACATAGTTATTATAATTATTTATTAAATTATTTGATCCATCTAAATTCAACATTGCATTATTCTTAATCAAAACGGGAAATTCAAAGTACATTAAAGACTGTATCCCAGCTTTACATTATATCAAGTGCAATGCATTCAGCATTATTATACCATTGAGCACCTTTGTACGTGTATGTTTTTCATCCCATCTTATTTATCTCTTTGTAAACTTAACTTATTATTAACTTATTCTCAGGGTATTCCAAAAATTGCACAAAGAGTCTTTTTTTTCTTAACCAGATGTTGATGTATTTAGCTTTGTGAAATATTATTTTCACAATCTGTTCAGTACTTCTCATGTTTTATATCAAGCTGATGTGATGTGACTAGTGTGGATCATCCAGTTAGTTGATACATCAGATGTTGTCAGCTTACATCGATTCATCGAGGCTTCACATCAGGTCAGGTGGTCGCGTTACTCAACCTTTAGTGTAACGAAAACGGAAGATCATTTGAGGATGCACGTTAAGGACGCTACATGTACCTTCTGTAGATTTGCCTTATACATGTAGTTAATACAGAGTTTTGGTATGGGGTCATGAATTTGGTTCAAATGAACACATTGGAAGCATATGCAATCCTACAATATTCAGTGATCGTTGTCACGGTTGAAATAAAGTCTATAAAGTTATGAAATTGTAAAGAATAAACTCTTTATGTTATATAGCTCCCTCACAAGGTCAAGATATTAATTGAGCTATAAAACATTGTTTCTTGACTAAAATCGACCGATTAGCTATTCACGTGTGGAAATTATATATCTCAATTACGTATTCTGAGATTTTCATGGTCGCTATTTGAAATTCATCAAAATTTACTGGGAGCACCGGTAAATTTTTATTTTCAATTTTTCTCGAATGCAGAAGTGTTTTAGGGGCTAAATTTTCTAGTGCTTATAATACATCCACAGGGGCATCCAAATATATCAAAATTGTAAAGAATCACTATCCACCCAATTTTCAAAATTTCCCAAAACTTTGTATTACCTTTAAGGTTTTCACCTGGTACATTGGACTAGACCATTTGTGGATGAGAGGGATTTATAACAAACATTACCCCTGACTTTTCGTGAATAAAGGGACATGTTTTCACTAATAAAGATTAGGTAACGCGACCACCCGACCCAACGCGATGACTTCGTGATTCAAAGTAAGCCAGACTAGTTGGCTTGATGAAGCGTCCCAGAGTGGATGTAAAACGTTGCAAGCTAAAACAAAGTAAAGTCCTGTTGACTTTAAAAGTCAAATAACATTTGATGTTATTGAACTGATATTACGCAACAAAAGATCTCATTAACTGACTATGTAACAAAGATATTTATTGTACCTTATCGATCTTGTTTATTGTTGTGTTGGTGAATGGATGCCTTATTGTTCGGCAGCTTATCTACTGTTAATTTTCAGCTGAAGACATGTGTTCTATTAAGAGTAGTATTGATATATTTTATTTTCCTTTGTTTTTGTAATAATTTTTTAGTGGTTGCATTGTTTTGTTATTACAGCATGTACAGTAGAAATAGAATGAGTAAATGATGAACGATATATTAATCTTCTGTATAATTCTGTTTCAAATTTGTGCAGTTGGTCTTTAAATGTTTTTAGGGTTTGGTCGCACCTGAACGTCAACAATAACAATAACATTTAAAGCGCTCTATATGTGTAAGTAGAAAATTTACTGTATTCTGGAAGTCATTGGTGAAAACTCATAAGAATAATTGATGAGTGCCACCCATTTCCTACAAAGGCTGATGTTGGTATTGTGATGTGACAGGCCTTGAAGTCGTGGAAGGAATGGGAATAATTTTTAGCCATTTAGTATTGAATGGATGCAATTTGTAATCTTAATTTTAATCTTTGCAGTTGTCATGAAAAATACGAGAGATTTTTAGGATCACAATTATATTTCCAACTTGAATTGTGTTTTCTACAAATGATTACTTTTGAATATGGTAGTATAGTGTAGCTTAAGATAACTTCATATATACTATACCTAATGAAAGTGATTTTATGTGTACATACATTCTGTATTCAGTTATGAGTACCCAAAGAAATTCACAATGTACATAACTGTACATGTACATGAAAATGCAATTATCTTTTTAATGCAAATACTGAGTAAATATTCATGTGGTATACTTTGATTAGTGTTTGGTAGTTATAAAACTATATCATATTGTCTCTTTTATTTTTTGAGGGGGGGGGGGGGGGTAAAATAATAGTAAAATTAACAATAGTGGGTTCTTGTATAACACTCATGTCTGCTTCCCTATAGCTGAATAGTTTTGGGGTTACACACTGTTGCTTAGTTGACCATGAGATGGCGCTGTGCAATAAACAACTACCGGTATGCTAGGGCAGAAATTTCATCAGTTCGGTATCGCTTTAAATGGGGAAACAAATGTGTATCGATTTTGTAATGAAGAGTTCAGGTTGCCTGTATAATGAGGTGTCGTAGAAGTGTCATGGTCAAGTGGATCAATCAGTTAACTCGGTATGCAATGGTCGCGGGTGCCAGCCCGGCACAGCACTTTGTCCTCGAGTATTAAAAAAGGCACTTTATCTACATCGAATCCAGTGATGGGGTAATGATAATACTAAAGCCCTTTGTTCGTTTGTTACTGGTAAAGTGCTTTACAGGAAACAGTTTATAGTGCAAATTCTGTTATTGCAATTGCACAAAATAATGTTTGTTTGTTTGATTGCTAGCATATCTGTAATTTACAAACGCAATATCTGCAATAATGTTTAAGGAACAGGGTCTGTAACGTATTAAGGGCATTCCCAGCCAGGGCGCATGATGCATTATAAGCTCTCACCGTGGAGATATCTCCATGCTCTCACACATGTTCAATCTACATGTACATGCATTTTGAGGCCTTCATGTTTTGAGGCCTTCATGTTTTGAAAAGAGAGTTTGTGGTCTGTAATTTTCATTTATTATGTGTGTGAAAGTATACCTGTGCTTAAGAGTTGTATACGTGTTATATTTATTGCCCTAGCACTTTCGTGATATTAAGATCCAATGATCAAGTGGTTTTCGGTTACAATAATTGTCGTTTGATAAATGAGTAATGAAATTTTCTTTAAATGCAACACACTAGGCAGAATCTTGGCAATGATAATGTGGTTTTCATTTCATTATTCCTAGACTCTGTCAGAAAATATGTCTTTTGTGTTACCAGCCATCACATTTTTTGTTTGCATCATCATCATACCCTGTACAAAAAATTGTATAGTTTTGATTGGCACGAGACTGATTATATTGTGAGATTTGTTCATCTGATGGCATTGTACATAATTCATGCGTGCAGTGTGGTGAGATATTTGCAAATTTATAGTTGATAACCATATCTATATTTTTGTATCTGACAAAAATCTTGTGTATATTGATCAGAAACAAGAAGAGTCTCATTCTCTTGTCATCTTCTTTACCTCTGCAGTTGGAACTCCTAATGAAATTGTTGAGCAATTTATTCTCATCTATTGAAAATATGCCAATTGGTATGTTATGCATTCATTATTTATTGTTGTAGCATTGTTTTATTATATTATTCTTTGCAAATTGATTGTAGTTGTAATGCCATTTGAAATGAAATGTATATCGCACTCAGTGAAAAAATACACGGGGGCTCAGGGCGAATTTGCCCCCGAAATGCCCAAAAGAGCCCCCGAAAATCAGAAAAGAGCCCCCGTAAATTTGCATAGAGTTCAATGCAAAACAAATTTTAGAGTGTTATTTTTATGCAGGCAAGCTTGAAAAGTAGCCCCCGAAAATTAAATATTAATTTTTTCCCTGGACTCGCACTGAACTAGGGAGGGGCTGTCATACACTCACAGGTATATCAGCAGATGTATAAAACTCCTTAGAATAATTATGCAAATAATAAAAACATGAATTTTCACCATTCTTTCCTAGAAATATTTACATTTTTAGCATATTTTAATGGGGCTTTTTTTTTTATTCCTCCCATATGTGCTATTGCATGTATGTCTAGCATTCAAGCATCTGAATTAACTTTAGCCCATGTTCTAAAAATCTTAAAGGTAGGCGTTACTACTGCAGCTAGAAGGGATTAGACCACACAGCGAGCCAACAAGGTCACTGTGACAGGTGGCTATCTCATTTACTCAGCTCTCATTTAACATAAGAAAAAGAGGATCATGGGGGACCAACAGGCACCAATTTGGGAAGTTTTCTATATAGAGGGAGCAAGTAGGAGCAAGTAGCTACAAGTAGGACAGTGTGCCTTTAAAGGTTGTGTTGTTGGCTGGTAATTTTGGAAAAAATTACGACTAGTTTACTATGGTTTTAAGGAAATTGGCACCGGCCTATTTTTAGCAATGTTATATACACTGTATACAGGGAAATGGATACATTAAATGCGTGGGAGTAAAAAATTACTAACATGTTAATCTGTCTCTTTCTATTTTTAGTCTGCGTTTTTTTAAGTTAAATTGTTAGGCATGGAAAGAGTGAAACATGTACATACTACATTTAGTTAAAGAGAAGGTTGAGTTCTGGGAAGAGGTAACAAATAATTTGTGAGCGTTATCATTCTTATTATGCAAGGGTGGAAGAACATCAGATTAAACATGTTCCCTGAAAAGCATGGCTCTTCAAATGCCTTCATATTCTAAATATGACGTGAAACATCGTAAAAATCGGGGGGGGGGGGGGGTAGGTTTTTTTCGCCATGTGCTCGTGTAGTCCCATATACATCATTCTGTGTACAGTGCTTGTAACTTTGCCAAGATTTGGCCAAATTTCTTATCATTTTGATGATTCCAGAACCTTGCAATACACACAAATACTTATATTAGATGATCAACCTTTTCTGATAGATTCCACACCGTTTCTTTCACAATGCAATCACATGACCAGAACTCAACTTTATCTTTAAAGAGAGAGAGAGATAGAGAAGGAGAGAAAGGGATAGAGAGAAAATAATTTAACCCATTCTGTTTTAATTATAAAGTTTTTACAATAGTGAAACTGTAACTTTGAATATTTTGTCATTGATACATTTAGATTGGCATAATATTTTGTCCATCAATATGCACTTCATGATAGAGGTAACTGTCTGGTTCCGGAAGAAAAAGGTAGGCCTCCTTTAAGAGCACAGGGTGGTCAACAAAGGGGTTTAAACGTCTAACCGCAACAGGGTTGAAGTTTGTTTGTAACGGCTTTCCAAATACAGCAAAAGGTCAGCATTCGTTCTAAAAGGGATCGTTTAACAATGTTAAATCTGAGATGCACGGCCATACGTGTTATCAGTGTCTTTGATATGGTGTTATATTGAAGCCCTAAAAACAGTTGCGCTTCAAAATGTTCAAGAAGTGCCTCAAAAAAGTAAAAACCTTTTAGTGACCGGTTTTTTCCATACTCGTTTTCCCCGATAGACTGTAGTGTTATGAAAACCGTTTGGCAAACGCAAAATTTGATTTTGCATTTCAATCATAAAAATCTTGATAATCGGACAGGGGATCGACTTGTAAAAGTCATGGGGTTCTTAACTGACCTAAAGGTTTATAATTATCATTGCAGCACAAGCTAAATCAAGGGTTTTTTAAAGGATGTTAGACAAATTTAACGGATCCCTTTAAACCAAATTATTAGCCATGAAATGTGTACATCGGTTCATATACTGTCATTTGTCACTGATGACAAGTTTTGTGAAATGGGGCCCAGGGGGGCGTTTCACAAAACTTGTCATCAGTGACAAATGACAGTTTGTGTTACAAGCTACTGAAATCCTTGCTTCTGATTGGCTATCAGCAGATTTGTCATCTATTTTTGTCATTTGTCATTGAAAAAAGGCTTTGTGAAATGGGGCCCAAGAGTGAGAAGTAGATTGTGATAGATATGAGGGAGCAAGAAATAAAGAATATCAGTTAAAAAGAGACAGAAGAGATATTGAAAGAAGGGAAAGAAAAAGAGGAGATCCTATTTATGGTACATATGATGCAAAAGTAAGTTCAGAGACATACATGTATATTAGACAAAATAAAGATGCATTGACAACCAATCTTCTATTTCATATGATTGTATTACCATAGAGTTCTTTTGACAAGGTTTTCTTGACAATGAATCCTTTTAATGTACATGTAAATTGTACATTTAAACACTCAATGCACTTGAACAAGTATAATATTATCATGCAGCACTTCATGCAAATACTCCAGCAAAGAATTATTTCAGTTCAATTCAAATCAATAAAATTACCACAATCACAAATAATTCATATCAATATCATCTCTTTGACCGTCAAAATTAAACACAACATAAATGAAAGTATAGCTTTGATGTAGGGTGACAATTCCCAGGAATAAATGTACATTAAATTTAAAGATAAATGTACATTGTGTTAAACACCTAAGATTTACGATTTTGTAAGAAAATGATCCTTCAATAATCAAACAAGTAAAATTGTCCTGATGGAGGTTCCTGATGATGATACGACTAGTATATTTGGAGGCATGATGACGCAATTGGATCATCATGATCATTACTTGGATAGAACGTTAAATGGAGGCCCCATGCGTAGTAAAAGTCATATCACATGTACATCAGGTGCCAGGTTATTCAGAATGTCAGAGGTAAACAAACAAAAATTAACCTTCGGCATTTGTACACCAAACAGCAAGTTAATGCCCTACACTTTAATGAGCAGGGTGTAACACAGTTTTTAGTGTGCCTGCAAGACACAACTGATAATCTACATACACAGATCTTCATGATTTTGAAGATTAAAAGTAAAAAGAAAAGAAAATTGATATTGTGTGTGGGGGGGGGGGGGAAGGAGGGGTATATATCTTGATTTTAGTCAAGGTATCATTACAAACAAAAAATACTGGTAAGTGATCTTTTGTTTCATTATTTCAACTCAAGAAAGGAGATAACAGAGACCCCCCCCCCCCTCACCCACTATAAGCTACACCACAAAATATTAAAAATTTGCCACGTACAGTAAGCATTTACCCCTAAAATCGACCCCAGTAAATCTTACAGTATTTTCATGGAATTCCTGTTATTTTAGTGCTTTGGCTTGAATACGACGCATTTGGCATCAAAGTCGAACACAACAAAATAGCGGAAGTTTACAAACCATCTTTTAAAACGCGTACTACAGCACTGCTCAGCACACTTTATGTTTGAATAATCATGACAGTATTTCAAGATGATACATATGTACATGGAGATGTAAATGTATGGAGATGTACATATACATGTATATATTCCTAAACAATGCTAGAAAATATCATTTAACTACTAATAGCACATTCTTTCATGTTCAAGCTAGACTGCTACATGCAGCTTATGTTTGTGTAAAAGTTTTCAGAAAGATAATACCTTTACATGTTAAACCAAAACTAAAAATTGTTTACAGTTTGCAACTTTGCATTGATGTACATGTATATGTACGTTTGGCAAATCTCTGTCACATTAAACAAATCATTCCATTCTTCAACATATAATAATAATCTACATGTATGTTCATTTATGTTCAAGCTAGACTGCCACATGCAGCTTATGTTTGTGGAAAAGTTTTTCAGAAAGATAATACCTTTACATGTTAAACCAAAAATTGTCTACACTTTGCATTGATGTGTCTTTGGCAAATCTCTGTCACATTAAACAAATCATTTCATTCTTCAACATACATGTACATGAACAATAATAATCTATTTACATGTACATTAAAGTACATGTAGTCTCTGAGCCCATATGTTTTAGTTGAAGATGTACATGAACCACAATCATCCTATCATAAAACATGCTTTGATTTACATGTCACTTCTTGTTCTGTTAAAATCATTCTCAGCTTCTAGACAACAACAACATCAGAAGATTTGGCACAATGTCACATTCATTATAAAAGCAGAATTCAACATTTACATGTACAGGCGCCCCCGACACATGGGCAGCCAACATCTTAGCCTGGACCCCCAAATTCTATTTTTGTTTGTGCCTAGGGCTCATGCATCAACAAATAATTTGTTCTGTGCGTTCATAATTTCACAAAATAATACTATATTCACAATATGAGCTTCAAATATTACTTCTGTAAACAGATTTTGCAAGTTGAAACGACAATTTCAATTAACATAAAAACAACTTGTAAGACTTTTGGACAGCCACGCACCCACATGCACTTTCATATAATAGGGCCAACACGAAGCCCAAGTCAGTATTAGGTTCCATGCGAGCTATATTATCCTAAACTTCATTTGTTTCATACTCCTTATCTGTTAGCCCATAGAATGCTTTGCAAGTTTTTGAGGTTGATTTATACATTCTAGCTGTACTCTGTTTAGTTTTTTAGATGATTGTTACACTTTAAGTTCATTTACTCACTTCAGTCAAACAGTGCAAGACACAATAAATCTTTTCTCTGTCTCAGTCACTACTGTAAGTATTCTATCATTTAGCAGTCTAGATGCAAGAAAAATGTTTCGACACACCTGTTCCATTACAAGGAAGACAATAACATAAATAAATAAATACATATTTGAAAGGATATTGCAGCCTAGGATGTTAATTCAGAAAGCAACCAAACTGAAATCATTATGATCACAAATTTTTATCCATATTACTGGGTTTCCACATGCATTGAGTTGGTCAACAGGCTTATTTCTGTAATTTCTCTAAAACATTCTTGAATTTTTCCACGTGCTCTGGGCTGCACCAGCAACTGGTGAATATCTCACGCTCAACCTTTAATGCTTTGTCCAGAGGTAGGTGGGAGGCTGCGAGCACGAGTTCCTTGATGCCGTTTACTATGTCTACAGATGCACGTGTGTATTGACTTAACCACTCAACAGCATGTTGCACACTATCGCTGCTACTTGGCAAGACGTCATCGGCGAGGCCCATCTCCAGCGCTTCTGTAGCTGTCACCGTTCGGCAACCCGCGAGAAGCTGCAGCGCCTTCTGCGGTCCAACAAGGCGCACCAGCCGCGAACCGCCGCCCCACCCGGGGGAGAGTCCCAACATGGCCTGCTTGAACTGGAGCTGCGTGGTTTCCGTCCACAGGCGGAAGTCGCACGCCGTCGAGAGCTCAGCTCCGCCCCCTACCGCTTGCCCGTGAACATGTGCGACACTGATAAGCGGGAGGTGTCGCAATCTTCCCAGGGTGCTCTGCATGAAGAGGCACATCATTCCCCCGGCTTCAGGTTTATCCAAGCCGCACAAGACGGATAGGTCACCACCACTGCAGAAATGGTCACTCTCTTCGTTGCCGTGGAGAATGAAACCCTTGCCATGCTCCCACACTTCCAGGTCATCGATGACATCTGAGAAGTCCACCATCATTTTTCCTGGAAAAGAAAAAAAGTTGCAGCCATTTTAAAAGGGATCTACATGTTCCCACATATCATCAACAGAAATTAGACCCCAAAAATAAAAATAAATAAAGGAAAAAGCATATATTATAAAACTTACAAACAGAGAACTTCCATCCTTGTTCCGTCCAAGAAATGCTCCAACTCCCCCCCCCCCCCCCCAAAAAAAAAACACATAATGGTATGTGAAATAAATATACTCCAGAGAAGTGAGCTTTTAGTCTCCAAATTAAATTTGGATATCTCATGAATAAAAGTGAATGTTAATTATCAATAGCGACTGATTATTTATTGCCATAACAAGACCAAGCTGTGAATAAAAAAATAACTAGATGGAATTTTGACTGCGCGCAGTCAAAAATGATGCCTCCGCCATAGAGCAATTTAAACAAGTTTGGAGTTTAAATCTCCAATGGTTCTTGAGATATCATGATAACAATCTCAATGTATGGAATTTCATAAGTTGACCTCTGTGACCCTTGACCTTTGACCTACGTGCTCCAAAATCTAATCAGATTGTCTTCCTATGGTGATACACACTATCATTAAGTTTGAAGTTTAAATCTCCAGTGGTTCTTGAGATATTATGATATGGTGATACATACTATCATTAAGTTTGAAGTGAAAATTCTCCAGTGGTTCTTGAGATATCGCGATAACGATCTCAATGTATGGAATTTCATAAGTTGACCTCTGTTACCCTTGACCTTTGACCTACGTGCTCCAAATTCTAATCAGATTGTCTTCCTATGGTGATACACACTATCATTAAGTTTGAAGTTTAAATCTCCAGTGGTTCTTGAGATATTATGATATGGTGATACATACTATCATTAAGTTTGAAGTGAAAATTCTCAAGTGGTTCTTGAGATATCGCGATAACGATCTCAATGTATGGAATTTCATAAGTTGACCTCTGTGACCCTTGACCTTTGACCTACATGCTCCAAAATCTAATCAGATTGTTTTGCTATAGTGATACACACTATCACTAAGTTTGAAGTTTAAATCTCGAGTGGTTCTTGAGATATCATGATAACAATCTCAATGTATGGAATTTCATAAGTTGACCTCTGTGACCCTTGACCTTTGACATACGTGCTCCAAAATCTAATCAGATCGTCTTCCTATGGTGATAAATACTATTCCCGAGTCTTAAGTTTAAATCTTAAATGGTTCTTGAGATATTGTGATAACGGTCAAACGGGACGGACGTACGGACGGACAACCCGAAAACATGATGCCTCCGGCACCACCTTCGGTGGCGGAGGCATAAAAATATATTTTCCTCCAAAATCCTGAACCACCCCGGCCCTTACCATTTCGGCCTGAAATTGGTGTTTATTCAAATTATCACAATATTTGTCCCTACGCCCCTTTCAAAGGGATATGGGGGTCAAGATCCATCTAATGGCATGTATGGACATTCATTGTGGGGAATTAACCTATTAAAAAAAATATATATTTTCCTCCAAAATGCTGAACCACCCGGACCTTCTAATTTCGGCCCGAAAGTTGTGATAATTCAAATTTTTACAATATTTGCCCCTACGCCCCTTTCAAAGGGATATGGGGGTCAAGATCCATCTAATGGCATGTATTGACATTCATTGTGGGGAAACTAGCCTATTAAAAAAAAAAATATTTTCCTCCCAAATGCTGAACCACCCCGGCCCTTACAATTTCGGCACGAAAGTTGTGATAATTCAAATTTTTACAATATTTGCCCCTACGCCCCTTTCAAAGGGATATGGGGGTCAGAATCAATCTAATTGCATGTAGGTACATTCATTGTGGGGAAACTAGCCTATTAAAAAAAATATATATTTTCCTCCAAAATGCTGAACCACCCCGGCCCTTACCATTTCGGCCTGAAATTGGTGTTTATTCAAATTATCACAATATTTGCCCCTACGCCCCTTTCAAAGGGATATGGGGGTCAAGATCCATCTAATGGCATGTATGTACATTCATTGTGGGGAAACTAGCCTATTCAAAAAATATAATATTTTCCTCCAAAATGCTGAACCACCCCGGCCCTTACCATTTCGGCCTGAAATTGGTGTTTATTCAAATTATCACAATATTTGCCCCTGCCCCTTTCAAAGGGATATGGGGGGAAAGATCCATCTAATGGCATGTAGGTACATTCATTGTGGGGAAACTAGCCTATTCAAAAAATATAATATTTTCCTCCAAAATGCTGAACCACCCCGGCCCTTACCATTTCGGCCTGAAATTGGTGTTTATTCAAATTATCACAATATTTGCCCCTACGCCCCTTTCAAAGGGATATGGGGGTCAAGATCCATCTAATGGCATGTAGGTACATTCATTGTGGGGAAACTAGCCTATTCAAAAAATATAATATTTTCCTCCAAAATGCTGAACCACCCCGGCCCTTACCATTTCGGCCTGAAATTGGTGTTTATTCAAATTATCACAATATTTGCCCCTACGCCCCTTTCAAAGGGATATGGGGGTCAGGATCATCTAATGGCATGTATGGACATTCATTGTGGGGAAACTAACCTATTAAAAAAAATATATATTTTCCTCAAAAATGCTGAACCACCCCGGACCTTCTAATTTCGGCCCGAAAGTTGTGATACCGGTAATTCAAATTTTTACAATATTTGCCCCTACGCCCCTTTCAAAGGGATATGGGGGTCAGGATCCATCTAATGGCATGTATGTACATTCATTGTGGGGAAACTAGCCTATTAAAAAAATATAATATTTTCCTCCAAAATGCTGAACCACCCCGGCCCTTACCATTTCGGCCTGAAATTGGTGTTTATTCAAATTATCACAATATTTGCCCCTACGCCCCTTTCAAAGGGATATGGGGGTCAAGATCATCTAATGGCATGTATGTACATTCATTGTGGGGAAACTAGCCTATTCAAAAAATATAATATTTTCCTCCAAAATGCTGAACCACCCCGGCCCTTACCATTTCGGCCTGAAATTGGTGTTTATTCAAATTATCACAATATTTGCCCCTACGCCCCTTTCAAAGGGATATGGGGGTCAGGATCATCTAATGGCATGTATGGACATTCATTGTGGGGAAACTAACCTATAAAAAAAAAAAAATTTTCCTCCAAAATGCTGAACCACCCCGGACCTTCTAATTTCGGCCCGAAAGTTGTGATAATTCAAATTTTTACAATATTTGCCCCTACGCCCCTTCCAAAGGGATATGGGGGTCAGGATCCATCTAATGGCATGTATGTACATTCATTGTGGGGAAACTAGCCTATTCAAAAAATATAATATTTTCCTCCAAAATGCTGAACCACCCCGGCCCTTACCATTTCGGCCTGAAATTGGTGTTTATTCAAATTATCACAATATTTGCCCCTACGCCCCTTTCAAAGGGATATGGGGGTCAGGATCCATCTAATGGCATGTATGGACATTCATTGTGGGGAAACTAACCTATTAAAAAAAAATATGTTTTCCTCCAAAATGCTGAACCACCCCGGCCCTTACCATTTCGGCCCGAATGTTGTGATAATTCAAATTTTTACAATATTTGCCCCTACGCCCCTTTCAAAGGGATATGGGGGTCAGGATCCATCTAATGGCATGTATGTACATTCATTGTGGGGAAACTAGCCTAATCAAAAAATATAATATTTTCCTCCAAAATGCTGAACCCCCCGGCCCTTACCATTTCGGCCTGAAATTGGTGTTTATTCAAATTATCACAATATTTGCCCCTACGCCCCTTTCAAAGGGATATGGGGGTCAGGATCCATCTAATGGCATGTATGGACATTCATTGTGGGGAAACTAACCTATTAAAAAAAATATATATTTTCCTCCAAAATGCTGAACCACCCCGGACCTTCTAATTTCGGCCCGAAAGTTGTGATAATTCAAATTTTTACAATATTTGCCCCTACGCCCCTTTCAAAGGGATATGGGGGTCAGGATCCATCTAATGGCATGAAGGTACATTCATTGTGGGGAAACTAGCCTATTAAAAAAATATAATATTTTCCTCCAAAATGCTGAAGAACCCCGGACCTTACCATTTCGGCCTGAAATTGGTGTTTATTCAAATTATCACAATATTTGCCCCTACGCCCCTTTCAAAGGGATATGGGGGTCAGATCCATCTAATGGCATGTAGGTACATTCATTGTGGGGAAACTAGCCTATTCAAAAATATAATATTTTCCTCCAAAATGCTGAACCACCCCGGCCCTTACCATTTCGGCCTGAAATTGGTGTTTATTCAAATTACCACAATATTTGCCCCTACGCCCCTTTCAAAGGGATATGGGGGTCAGGATCCATCTAATGGCATGTAGGTACATTCATTGTGGGGAAACTAGCCTATTCAAAAAATATAATATTTTCCTCCAAAATGCTGAACCACCCCGGCCCTTACCATTTCGGCCTGAAATTGGTGTTTATTCAAATTATCACAATATTTGCCCCTACGCCCCTTTCAAAGGGATATGGGGGTCAGGATCCATCTAATGGCATGTATGGACATTCATTGTGGGGAAACTAACCTATTAAAAAAAAATAATATTTTCCTCCAAAATGCTGAACCACCCCGGACCTTCTAATTTCGGCCCGAAAGTTGTGATAATTCAAATTTTTACAATATTTGCCCCTACGCCCCTTTCAAAGGGATATGGGGGTCAGGATCCATCTAATGGCATGTATGTACATTCATTGTGGGGAAACTAGCCTATTTAAAAAAAATAATATTTTCCTCCAAAATGCTGAACCACCCCGGCCCTTACAATTTCGGCCGAAAGTTGTGATAATTCAAATTATCACAATATTTGCCCCTACGCCCCTTTCAAAGGGATTGGGGGTCAGGATCCATCTAATGGCATGTATGGACATTCATTGTGGGGAAACTAACCTATTCAAAAAAAAAAATATTTTCCTCCAAAATGCTGAACCACCCCGGACCTTTTAATTTCGGCCCGAAAGTTGTGATAATTCAAATTTTTACAATATTTGCCCCTACGCCCCTTTCAA